TAAATACAACAAAAACAATCTCCTCCAATACTCTTCATTGTCCTATACAAGCCACCGCAGTCATGTCACAGTTTTATTGATAATTTTACAGAGTTGCTTTCAGTTGTATGCACAGATTTTGATAGTTTGGTTATTACAGGGGATTTTAATATTCATGTGGATAATGTTGATGACAGAAATGCAAATGAGCTGAGTTCTGTTCTTGAATCCTTTGATCTCACTCAGCACGTAAGTGGCCCCACCCACAGCAGAGGGCACACTCTAGACCTGTTAGTTACTAAGGGGGTGAATATTTCAAATGTAAGCGTGGTCGATGTTGCTCTTTCGGATCATTTCTGTGTTTTTTTTGACATGTGTTTCACTAACAAACCACCAGTGGACTCTGCAACTGTTCGAAGAAGACACATAAATGAAAATACGAGTGAACTATTTATGGGAATGATAAACTTTGAAAATGCATCGTATTCTACTGTAGATGAACTGTTTAACTCTGTCACCTCTAGTGTTTTGAATGTTCTGGATACCGTTGCCCCTGTGAAGGTTAAAATAGTGAAAAATAAGCAGAAGGCGCCGTGGGCTAAAGCAGACTCGGTCAGAGCACTGAAGAGAAAGTGCCGGAGGGTCGAGCGGAAGTGGCGCAAGTCCAACCTCCAGGTTGATTACAAGATCTTCAAAGATAAGTTGTGCGAGTTTAACCGGGTGCTACGTAGTACGAGAGAAAGGTATTTTTCTGAAATGATTGAAGGCTGCAGCAACAATCTGCGTGTTCTGTTTTCAACAGTTAATAGATTAACAAACCCCCCTGTTCAAATGCCATTAGAGCTTACTTCCAAACGTAAATGCAATGAGTTTGCACACTTTTTCAATGACAAGGTTCAAGGCATCAAAAACGCCATTGTCTCCAATCCACAGATAACCATCCAACAGCCAGAAAGGCTCTCTGAGCTAACTCACTTTGCACCTGTAAATGATCAAACTGTCCAAGAGATAATCTCCAGTTTGAGCTCCTCCACATGCAGCCTGGATGTACTACCCACTAGATTTCTGAAGTCTGTTCTGAGCAGTCTGTTACCTTCACTCACACAGATAGTAAACATGTCCCTTCATTCTGGAATATTCCCAAAGGCCCTGAAAACTGCAGTCATCAGGCCCCTGCTAAAAAAGAGCAGTCTCGATGCTACGGTACTTAACAACTATCGTCCCATCTCAAATCTGCCATTTATGGGGAAAGTCCTTGAAAAAGTTGTCTACCTACAGCTTACTAGATTTCTTATAATCAACAACTCATTTGATATGTTTCAGTCCGGCTTTAGACCCCACCACAGCACTGAGACTGCTCTCGTTAAGGTTACAAACAATATCCGGCTGAACACTGACGCAGGCAAAGTCTCAATCTTAATCTTGTTAGATCTAAGTGCTGCCTTTGACACTGTCGACCATGAGATCCTCTTACAGAGACTAGAGGACTGGGTTGGCGTCGCTGGCACCGCCCTAAGTTGGTTTAGGTCTTACCTTGAAGACAGGAAGTACTTTGTGGAGATTGGAAACTGTGTCTCAGATCATATGGCCCTGACCTGTGGAGTCCCACAGGGGTCGATCCTGGGACCTCTTCTGTTCAATCTCTACATGCTGCCGTTAGGTCAGTTAATACGCAGAAACAAAGTGTCCTATCATAACTATGCAGACGACACTCAGATCTATGTCTCACTGACTGCAGGAGAACATGGACCAGTGGACTCACTCCTTCACTGTATCCAACAGATCAGTGAGTGGATGCAAAACAACTTCCTTCAGCTAAACGCAGACAAAACTGAAATGATTGTCTTTGGTCCCCAGAAACAAAGAGAGAGCGTCATCTGTCACCTCCAGTCTCTCTCCCTAAAACCTTCAAACAAGGTCAGAAATCTAGGGGTAATACTGGACTCAGACTTACATTTTAATAGCCACATCAAATCAGTAACATCAGCAGCTTTTTACCATCTAAAAAACATTGCCAGGATCAAAAACATAGTGTCTAAAGCAGACCTGGAGATTCTTATCCATGCATTTGTCTCCAGTAGGTTAGACTACTGCAATGGCCTGCTCACAGGTCTGTCCAAACAGGCTGTAAAACAGCTGCAGTACATTCAAAATGCAGCAGCTCCAGTCCTGACTAGAACCAGGAAGTACGACCATATTAGTCCTGACTAGAACCAGGAAGTACGACCACATTAGTCCTGACTAGAACCAGGAAGTACGACCATATTAGTCCTGACTAGAACCAGGAAGTACGACCATATTAGTCCAGACTAGAACCAGGAAGTACGACCACATAAGTCCTGACTAGAACCAGGAAGTACGACCACATAAGTCCTGACTAGAACCAGGAAGTACGACCACATTAGTCCTGACTAGAACCAGGAAGTACGACCACATTAGTCCAGTTCTCAGGTCTCTGCACTGGCTTCCTGTGGCTCAGAGAATAGACTTTAAAACAGCTCTGCTTGTTACAAGTCTCTCCATGGCCTCGCACCAAAATATATTAGTGACATGTTAGTCCCATATGAACCAGCCCGGACTCTGAGGAGCACAGGGACTGGACTCCTGCTGGGACTCTGAGGAGCACAGGGACTGGACTCCTGCTGGGACTCTGAGGAGCACAGGGACTGGACTGCTGCTGGGACTCTGAGGAGCACAGGGACTGGACTCCTGCTGGGACTCTGAGGAGCACAGGGACTGGCCTCCTGCTGGGACTCTGAGGAGCACAGGGACTGGACTCCTGCTGGGACTCTGAGGAGCACAGGGACTGGCCTCCTGCTGGGACTCTGAGGAGCACAGGGACTGGACTCCTGCTGAGACTCTGAGGAGCACAGGGACTGGACTCCTGCTGGGACTCTGAGGAGCACAGGGACTGGACTCCTGTTAGTGCCCAGAGTCAGAACTAAACATGGGGAGGCTGCTTTTCAGATTCATGCTGCTAAAATCTGGAACAGTCTTCCTGAAGATGTGAGACAGGCCTCCTCTCTGACAATGTTTAAAACCAGGTTAAAGACAGTTCTGTTTAGCTGTGCTACAACTGAGGGATTTTATATTTTTATCTTTCTTTTTAATGTTCTGTGATTATTTAGGATTTTAATGCTTTCTTGTTTTGTTCAGCACTTTGAGTTGCCTTGTGTATGAATTGTGCTATATAAATAAACTTGCCTTGCCTTGAGTAGTTTTTTTACATACTCCTGAGTCTGACAGAGTAGAGAGAATAGAGAGAGGAGAAAGAAAGAGTGGAGAGGAGAGAGAAAGAAAGAGTGGAGAGGAGAGAGAAAGAAAGAGTGGAGAGGAGAGAGAAAGAAAGAGTGGAGAGGAGAGAGAGAGAGTAGAGAAAGTGGACAGAGTAGAGTAGAGAAAGAAGAGAGTGGAGAGCAGAGAGAAAGTAAAGAGAGAGTAGAGACACAGTAGAGTGCAGAGAGAGCAGAGCAGAGAGCAGAGCGAGAGAGCAGAGATGCAGAGCGAGAGAGCAGAGCAGAGAGAGCGAGAGAGCAGAGATGCAGAGTGAGAGAGCAGAGATGCAGAGCGAGAGAGCAGAGCGAGAGAGCAGAGATGCAGAGCGAGAGAGCAGAGATGCAGAGCGAGAGAGCAGAGATGCAGAGCAAGAGCAGAGAGCAGAGCGAGAGAGCAGAGATGCAGAGCGAGAGAGCAGAGATGCAGAGCGAGAGAGCAGAGATGCAGAGCGAGAGCAGAGAGCAGAGCGAGAGAGCAGAGATGCAGAGCGAGAGAGCAGAGATGCAGAGCGAGAGAGCAGAGATGCAGAGCGAGAGAGCAGAGATGCAGAGCGAGAGCAGAGAGCAGAGCGAGAGAGCAGAGATGCAGAGCGAGAGAGCAGAGCAGAGAGAGCGAGAGAGTAGCACCTGCAGCAGTTGGCGTTCCCACACAGCAGGACCTCTCTCCCTCCGCAGCAGACGGTGCAGTAGGACTGGTATCCATCGTCATCGTACATGTAGGACATCTCCAGGTAGTTGTCCTGACACACACCCAACATTCAAATACAAGTCACTATCTGCAGTAAAACCACAGTGGAATAAACGTGCAAGAGTCCCCAGTGCGCAGCAGACACAAATACACAAAACAAGTTTGTTTGAACCAAATCAATTAATTTCTGTGGCGCCCCCTGCAGGTGAAAGCCAGATATTGTCAGACCTCTGAAGCTCAGCAGGACAGGGCCTGGTTAGTCCTGTGATGGGAGACCTCTGGGAACAGCAGGTGCCACAGTGGGGCGGCTGTGGCTGTAAAGTTCCAAACTGTGGTTGTGTCCTTAGGCAAGACACTTCCCCCACATTAGAATGAGTCTAGTGTGTGTGTGAATGGTTGGTGGTGGTGGGAGGGGCCGATGGCACAGACTGGTTGCCTCCCTTCTGTCAGTGTGCCCCAGGGCAGCTGTGGCTACAGTAGTTTATCACCACTGTGTTTGGAGAGAGAATGATGATGTGAAGAGACTTAAGAATTACGTTGACAATATTCAGATAAACCTGAAACATGAAGAGATCTCTGAATATAAACTAAAACATGTATGATCTTGAAACGTGTTTAAATATTTAGCTACATCAGCCTCAGTGATGGTCCAGACCAGAGAGAGAGACCAGAGAGAGAGACCAGAGAGAGAGACCAGAGAGAGAGACCAGAGAGACACAGAGAGAGAGACCAGAGAGAGAGACCAGAGAGAGAGACCAGAGAGACACAGAGAGAGAGACCAGAGAGAGACCAGAGAGAGAGAGACCAGAGAGAGAGACCAGAGAGAGAGAGACCAGAGAGAGAGAGACCAGAGAGAGAGACCAGAGAGAGAGAGACCAGAGAGAGAGACACCAGAGAGAGAGACCAGAGAGAGAGACCAGAGAGAGAGACCAGAGAGAGAGACCAGAGAGAGAGACCAGAGAGAGAGAGACCAGAGAGAGAGACCAGAGAGAGAGAGACACAGAGAGACACTCTCTCTCTCCATCAGACCTCAGACTCACCTTGCAGGTTTGGCACAGGCCTCCTTCAAACAGTGGGTGGAAAGTTGCGGCTCTCATCCTCCCACAAGAGAGACAGAACTCTGAGGACACAGACACAACACGTCACAGACACAGACGTCCCAGACACGTCACAGACACAGACGTCACAGACACAGACGTCTCAGACACAGACGTCACAGACACAGACGTCTCAGACACAGACGTCTCAGACACGTCACAGACACAAACGTCTCAGACACGTCACAGACACAGACGTCACAGACAGACGTCCCAGACACGTCACAGACAGACGTCACAGACACAGACGTCTCAGACACGTCACAGACACAGACGTCACAGACACAGACGTCTCAGACACGTCACAGACAAACGTCTCAGACACGTCACAGACACAGACGTCACAGACACAGACGTCTCAGACACGTCACAGACAAACGTCTCAGACACGTCACAGACACAGACGTCACAGACAGACGTCCCAGACACGTCACAGACAGACGTCACAGACACAGACAGACGTCACAGACACAGACGTCACAGACACAGACGTCTCAGACACGTCACAGACACAGACGTCTCAGACACGTCACAGACACAGACGTCACAGACACAGACGTCTCAGACACGTCACAGACACAGACGTCTCAGACACGTCACAGACACAGACGTCTCAGACACGTCACAGACACAGACGTCTCAGACACAGACGTCTCAGACACGTCACAGACACAGACGTCTCAGACACGTCACAGACACAAACGTCTCAGACACGTCACAGACACAGACGTCACAGACGACACAGACGTCGCAGACACAGACGTCACAGACAGACGTCACAGACAGACGTCACAGACAGACGTCACAGACAGACGTCACAGACAGACGTCACAGACACAGACGTCACAGACACAGACGTCTCAGACAGACGTCTCAGACACAGACGTCTCAGACACGTCACAGACACAGACGTCACAGACACAGACGTCACAGACGACACAGACGTCACAGACACAGACTAGGGATGTAAAAAACTATGAATTTTCATGACCGACCACCGAGCCTCATTAACCGGTTGAAACCGGTTAACCGCGTAGTTTAAAATAGTCCACGTTCTTTGAAATAACAGCCATTTCGAGCCGCGTACTTTTCATAAGTGCAGCTCTGCGTTCTACTGGATCAGAGCCGAGACAGCGGCGCCCAAACCCGCAACAGCTCCGGCACCTTTGAGCACAGAGAACTGCTTTTTTAATCTTTCCATTCTGCTGTGCTGCGGGTTAATACCAAAACTTTCTAGCAGCAAACGACGGCTCGTTCACATGGTCAGAGCAGCGAGTGACGCGTCTCACAGGTCTTCACAAAAGTTTAAATACAAGTGATGTGTGTGGAGCTGATCCCGAGGACCATAAACACAAACATGTTCCATGTGGTTTGACTGGAGCCGTGTATTTTCGCGAATCCTTTGGGCTCCGTGACACAGAGGAGGAGCGCGACAGACCGGTATGTGTGTGTGTATGTGTGTGTGTATGTATGTATGTGTGTTGTATGTGTGTGTGTAAATGTAAGCTCCAATGTAGTTCTGACCCGCGCCACTGTGCAACTTTGACGGTAACAGAGGGGAGAGATGATGCGTGTGGATGTTACGTATGGAGAGGGGGAAAGTGTGTGTGTGTGTGTGTGTGTGTGTGTGTGTGTGTGTGTGTGTGTGTGTGTGTGTGTGTGTGCGTGCGTGTGTGCATATGTGGCTCGTGCGGCGTGAGAGTCGTCCCGGAGTTTATAATACATGGGCGCACATAGCTAGATACAGACCCGCTCGTCACACCGTGCAAATAGGGCTTAAAATAGCGTTATTAAGAGACCTCCCCTCTCCCCTTTTTCTCTTTTTTAACCGACAGCTTTGACCGGTTAACGCTGTGACGGTCAACCACCGGTTAAACGGTCACCGATTTACATCCCTAACACAGACGTCACAGACAGACGTCACAGACAGACGTCACAGACAGACGTCACAGACAGACGTCACAGACACAGACGTCACAGACACACACGTCACAGACACACACGTCTCAGACAGACGTCTCAGACACAGACGTCTCAGACACAGACATGTCACAGACACAGACAGACGTCACAGACACAGACGTCACAGACACAGACGTCTCAGACACGTCACAGACACAGACGTCTCAGACACGTCACAGACACAGACGTCTCAGACACGTCACAGACACAGATAGACGTCACAGACACAGACGTCACAGAAGTCTCAGACACGTCAGACACAGACGTCTCAGACACAGACGTCTCAGACACAGACGTCTCAGACACGTCACAGACACAGACGTCACAGACACACACGTCTCAGACACAGACGTCTCAGACACAGACGTCTCAGACACAGACGTCTCAGACACAGACACGTCACAGACAGACGTCACAGACAAACGTCTCAGACACGTCACAGACACAGACACAGACGTCACAGACAGACGTCCCAGACACGTCACAGACAGACGTCACAGACACAGACGTCACAGACACACACGTCACAGACACACACGTCTCAGACAGACGTCTCAGACACAGACGTCTCAGACACAGACATGTCACAGACACAGACAGACGTCACAGACACAGACGTCACAGACACAGACGTCACAGACAGACGTCTCAGACACGTCACAGACACAGACGTCTCAGACACGTCACAGACACAGACGTCTCAGACACAGACGTCTCAGACACGTCACAGACACAGATAGACGTCACAGACACAGACGTCACAGAAGTCTCAGACACGTCAGACACAGACGTCTCAGACACAGACGTCTCAGACACAGACGTCTCAGACACAGACGTCTCAGACACAGATGTCTCAGACACAGACTCGTCACAGACAGACGTCACAGACAAACGTCTCAGACACGTCACAGACACAGACACAGACGTCACAGACAGACGTCCCAGACACGTCACAGACAGACGTCACAGACACAGACGTCTCAGACACGTCACAGACACAGACGTCTCAGACACGTCACAGACACAGACGTCTCAGACACAGACGTCACAGACACAGACGTCACAGACACAGACGTCTCAGACACGTCACAGACACAGACGTCTCAGACACGTCACAGACACAAACGTCTCAGACACGTCACAGACACAGACGTCACAGACGACACAGACGTCGCAGACACAGACGTCACAGACAGACGTCACAGACAGACGTCACAGACAGACGTCACAGACAGACGTCACAGACAGACGTCACAGACAGACGTCACAGACACAGACGTCACAGACACAGACGTCTCAGACAGACGTCTCAGACACAGACGTCTCAGACACGTCACAGACACAGACGTCACAGACACAGACGTCACAGACGACACAGACGTCACAGACACAGACTAGGGATGTAAAAAACTATGAATTTTCATGACCGACCACCGAGCCTCATTAACCGGTTGAAACCGGTTAACCGCGTAGTTTAAAATAGTCCACGTTCTTTGAAATAACAGCCATTTCGAGCCGCGTACTTTTCATAAGTGCAGCTCTGCGTTCTACTGGATCAGAGCCGAGACAGCGGCGCCAAAACCCACAACAGCTCCGGCACCTTTGAGCACAGAGAACTGCTTTTTTAATCTTTCCATTCTGCTGTGCTGCGGGTTAATACCAAAACTTTCTAGCAGCAAACGACGGCTCGTTCACATGGTCAGAGCAGCGAGTGACGCGTCTCACAGGTCTTCACAAAAGTTTAAATACAAGTGATGTGTGTGGAGCTGATCCCGAGGACCATAAACACAAACATGTTCCATGTGGTTTGACTGGAGCCGTGTATTTTCGCGAATCCTTTGGGCTCCGTGACACAGAGGAGCGCGACAGACCGGTATGTGTGTGTGTATGTGTGTGTGTATGTATGTGTGTGTGTATGTATATGTGTGTGTGTGTAAATGTAAGCTCCAATGTAGTTCTGACCCGCGCCACTGTGCAACTTTGACGGTAACAGAGGGGAGAGATGATGCGTGTGGATGTTACGTATGGAGAGGGGGAAAGTGTGTGTGTGTGTGTGTGTGTGTGTGTGTGTGTGTGTGTGTGTGTGTGTGTGTGTGTGTTGCGCGTGCGTGTGTGCATATGTGGCTCGTGCGGCGTGAGAGTCGTCCCGGAGTTTATAATACATGGGCGCACATAGCTAGATACAGACCCGCTCGTCACACCGTGCAAATAGGGCTTAAAATAGCGTTATTAAGAGACCTCCCCTCTCCCCTTTTTCTCTTTTTTAACCGACAGCTTTGACCGGTTAACGCTGTGACGGTCAACCACCGGTTAAACGGTCACCGATTTACATCCCTAACACAGACGTCACAGACAGACGTCACAGACAGACGTCACAGACAGACGTCACAGACACAGACGTCACAGACACACACGTCTCAGACAGACGTCTCAGACACAGACGTCTCAGACACAGACATGTCACAGACACAGACAGACGTCACAGACACAGACGTCACAGACACAGACGTCTCAGACACGTCACAGACACAGACGTCTCAGACACGTCACAGACACAGACGTCTCAGACACGTCACAGACACAGACGTCTCAGACACGTCACAGACAGACGTCTCAGACACGTCACAGACACAGACGTCTCAGACACGTCACAGACACAGACGTCTCAGACACAGACGTCTCAGACACGTCACAGACACAGATAGACGTCACAGACACAGACGTCACAGAAGTCTCAGACACGTCAGACACAGACGTCTCAGACACAGACGTCACAGACACACACGTCACAGACAGACGTCACAGACACAGACGTCTCAGACACGTCACAGACACAGACGTCACAGACACACACGTCTCAGACACAGACGTCTCAGACACAGACGTCTCAGACACAGACGTCTCAGACACAGACACGTCACAGACAGACGTCACAGACACAGATAGACGTCACAGACACAGACAGACGTCACAGACACAGACGTCTCAGACACGTCACAGACACAGACGTCTCAGACACAGACGTCAGAGACACAGACGTCAGAGACACAGATAGACGTCAGACAGACGTCACAGACACGTCACAGACACAGACGTCTCAGACACAGACGTCTCAGACACGTCACAGACAGACGTCCCAGACACAGACAGACGTCACAGACACAGACAGACAGACGTCTCAGACACAGACGTCTCAGACACAGACGTCACAGACACAGACGTCACAGACACAGAAGTCACAGACACAGACGTCTCAGACACAGACGTCTCAGACACAGACGTCTCAGACACAGACGTCTCAGACACGTCACAGACACAGACGTCACAGACACAGACGTCACAGAAGTCTCAGACACGTCAGACACAGACGTCTCAGACACAGACGTCACAGACACACATGTCACAGACACAGACGTCACAGACAGACGTCAGACACAGACGTCACAGACAGACGTCACAGACACAGACGTCACAGACAGACGTCCCAGACACGTCACAAACACAGACGTCACAGACACAGACGTCTCAGACACAGACGTCACAGACACAGACGTCACAGACACAGAGGTCTCAGACACAGACGTCTCAGACACGTCACAGACACAGACGTCACAGACACGTCACAGACACAGACGTCTCAGACACGTCACAGACACAAACGTCTCAGACACGTCACAGACACAGACGTCACAGACACAGACGTCACAGACAGACGTCACAGACAGACGTCACAGACACAGACGTCACAGACACAGACGTCACAGACAGACGTCACAGACAGACGTCACAGACACAGACGTCACAGACACACACGTCTCAGACACACACGTCTCAGACACAGACACGTCTCAGACACAGACACGTCACAGACACAGACAGACGTCACAGTCACAGACACAGACAGACAGACGTCACAGACACAGACGTCACAGACACAGATAGACGTCACAGACACAGACGTCTCAGACACGTCACAGACACAGACGTCTCAGACACAGACGTCTCAGACACAGACGTCTCAGACACGTCACAGACACAGATAGACGTCACAGACACAGACGTCACAGACACAGACGTCACAGAAGTCTCAGACACGTCAGACACAGACGTCACAGACACAGACGTCACAGACACACACGTCACAGACACAGACGTCACAGACACACACGTCTCAGACACAGACGTCTCAGACACAGACGTCTCAGACACAGACGTCACAGACACAGACAGACGTCACAGACACAGATAGACGTCACAGACACAGATAGACGTCAGACAGACGTCACAGACACAGACGTCTCAGACACAGACGTCTCAGACACGTCACAGACAGACGTCCCAGACACAGACAGACGTCACAGACACAGACAGACAGACGTCTCAGACACAGACGTCTCAGACACAGACGTCTCAGACACAGACGTCACAGACACAGACGTCACAGACACAGACGTCACAGACACAGAAGTCAGACACAGAAGTCACAGACACACTAGACTCTTGGCGTCTGCCTCCGCCCGTGAACGAGTCCTACCTTCAATACTGCGTTTGTTCTTCACCACTTCATTCACCATTTGTTCTGCAGGAGAAGGCGGAGTGAGTGAGTGAGAGTGTAAGTGTGTCTGGAGTGAGTGAGTGAGTGAGTGAGTCTGGAGTGAGTGTGTCTGGAGTGAGTGAGTGTGTCTGGAGTGAGTGAGTGAGAGTGTAAGTGTGTCTGGAGTGAGTGAGTGAGAGTGTAAGTGTGTCTGGAGTGAGTGAGTGAGTGAGTGAGTGAGTCTGGAGTGAGTGAGTGAGTGAGTGTGTCTGGAGTGAGTGAGTGAGTCTGGAGTGAGTGTGTCTGGAGTGAGTGAGTGTGTCTGGAGTGAGTGAGTGAGTGAGTGTGTCTGGAGTGAGTGAGTGAGTGAGTGTGTCTGGAGTGAGTGAGTGAGTGAGTGTGTCTGGAGTGAGTGAGTGAGTCTGGAGTGAGTGAGTGAGTCTGGAGTGAGTGAGTGAGTCTGGAGTGAGTGAGTGTGTCTGGAGTGAGTGAGTGAGTGTGTCTGGAGTGAGTGAGTGAGTGTGTCTGGAGTGAGTGAGTGAGTGTGTCTGGAGTGAGTGAGTGAGTGTGTCTGGAGTGAGTGAGTGAGTGTGTCTGGAGTGAGTGAGTGAGTGAGTGAGTGAGTGAGTGTGTCTGGAGTGAGTGAGTGAGTGAGTGTGTCTGGAGTGAGTGAGTGTGTCTGGAGTGAGTGAGTGAGTGTGTCTGGAGTGAGTGAGTGAGTGTGTCTGGAGTGAGTGAGTGAGTGTGTCTGGAGTGAGTGAGTGAGTGTGTCTGTAGTGAGTGAGTGTGTCTGGAGTGAGTGAGTGAGTGAGTCTGGAGTGAGTGAGTGAGTCTGGAGTGAGTGAGTGAGTCTGGAGTGAGTGAGTGAGTGAGTCTGGAGTGAGTGAGTCTGGAGTGAGTGAGTGAGTGAGTGTGTCTGGAGTGAGTGAGTGAGTGAGTGTGTCTGGAGTGAGTGAGTGAGTGAGTGTGTCTGGAGTGAGTGAGTGAGTCTGGAGTGAGTGAGTGAGTCTGGAGTGAGTGAGTGAGTCTGGAGTGAGTGAGTGAGTCTGGAGTGTGAGTGAGTGAGTGTGTCTGGAGTGAGTGAGTGAGTGTGTCTGGAGTGAGTGAGTGAGTGTGTCTGGAGTGAGTGAGTCTGGAGTGAGTGAGTGAGTGTGTCTGGAGTGAGTGAGTGAGTGTGTCTGGAGTGAGTGAGTGAGTGAGTGAGTGTGTCTGGAGTGAGTGAGTGAGTGAGTGAGTGAGTGAGTGAGTCTGGAGTGAGTGAGTGAGTCTGGAGTGAGTGAGTGAGTCTGGAGTGAGTGATGTGAGTGAGTGTGTCTGGAGTGAGTGAGTGAGTGTGTCTGTAGTGAGTGAGTGTGTCTGGAGTGAGTGAGTGAGTGAGTCTGGAGTGAGTCTGAGTGAGTGAGTGAGTGAGTGAGTCTGGAGTGAGTGAGTGAGTCTGGAGTGAGTGAGTGAGTGTGTCTGGAGTGAGTGAGTGAGTGTGTCTGGAGTGAGTGAGTGAGTGTGTCTGGAGTGAGTGAGTGAGTGTGTCTGGAGTGAGTGAGTGAGTCTGGAGTGAGTGAGTGAGTGTGTCTGGAGTGAGTGAGTGAGTGTGTCTGGAGTGAGTGAGTGAGTGTGTCTGGAGTGAGTGAGTGAGTCTGGAGTGAGTGAGTGAGTGAGTGTGTCTGGAGTGAGTGAGTGTGTCTGGAGTGAGCGAGTGAGTGTGTCTGGAGTGAGTGAGTGAGTGAGTCTGGAGTGAGTGAGTCTGGAGTGAGTGAGTCTGGAGTGAGTGAGTGAGTGAGTGAGTGAGTGAGTGAGTGTGTCTGGAGTGAGCGAGTGAGTGAGTGAGTGTGTCTGGAGTGAGTGAGTGAGTGAGTGAGTGTGTCTGGAGTGAGTGAGTGAGTGAGTGAGTGAGTCTGGAGTGAGTGAGTGAGTGAGTGAGTGAGTGAGTGAGTGAGTGAGTGTGTGGCAATGTGACTGGGCCGTGTGTACCTCTGCTGTAGGTCTCCTCTGGGGCCTTGCTCTTACAGGACCCCAGCTTGGGACGCTTGGTGCTGGGGAGGTACTCAGGGAGGGGCACGTCCTGGACATGGTGGTACAGGGCTTTGAGCTCTGCAAGAGGCAGAAACACTGGGTTCATTATGAATCCTCCTCTCTCTTACTCGCTCTCTCTCTCTCTCTCTCTCTCTCTTGCTTTCTCTTGCTCTCTCTGGCCTCGCTCTCTCGCTTTCTGGCATCTCTCTCGCTCTCCGGCATCTGGCCTCTCTCTCGCTCTCTGGCATCTCTCTCGCTCTCTGGCATCTCTCTCGCTCTCGCTCTCTGGCATCTCTCTCGCTCTCTGGCATCTCTCTCTCGCTCTCTGGCATCTCTCTCTCGCTCTCTGGCATCTCTCTCTCGCTCTCTGGCATCTCTCTCTCGCTCTCTGCTCTCTGGCATCTCTCTCTCTCGCTCTCTGGCATCTCTCTCTGCTCTCTGGCATCTCTCTCGCTCTCTGGCATCTCTCTCGCTCTCTGGCATCTCTCTCGCTCTCTGGCATCTCTCTCGCTCTCTGGCATCTCTCTCGCTCTCTGGCATCTCTCTCTCGCTCTCTGGCATCTCTCTCTCGCTCTCTGGCATCTCTCTCTCGCTCTCTGGCATCTCTCTCTCGCTCTCTGGCATCTCTCTCTCTCTCGCTCTCTGGCATCTCTCTCTCGCTCTCTGGCATCTCTCTCTCTCGCTCTCTGGCATCTCTCTCTCGCTCTCTGGCATCTCTCGCTCTCTGGCTTCTCTCGCTCTCTGGGCATCTCTCTCGCTCTCTGGCATGGCATCTCTCTCTCGCTCTCTGGCATCTCTCTCTCGCTCTCTGGCATCTCTCTCTCTCTGCATCTCTGCTCTCTGGCATCTCTCTCTCGCTCTCTGGCATCTCTCTCTCTGGCATCTCTCTCTCGCATCTCTCGCTCTCTGCATCTCTCTCTCGCTCTCTGGCATCTCTCTCTCGCTCTCTGGCATCTCTCTCTCGCTCTCTGGCATCTCTCTCTCGCTCTCTGGCATCTCTCTCTCGCTCTCTGGCATCTCTCTCTCGCTCTCTGGCATCTCTCTCTCGCTCTCTGGCATCTCTCTCTCGCTCTCTGGCATCTCTCTCTCGCTCTCTGGCATCTCTCTCTCGCTCTCTGGCATCTCTCTCTCGCTCTCTGGCATCTCTCTCGCTCTCTCTGGCATCTCTCTCGCTCTCTGGCATCTCTCTCGCTCTCTCTCGCTCTCTGCATCTCTCTCGCTCTCTGGCATCTCTCTCGCTCTCTGGTATCTCTCTCGCTCTCTGGCATCTCTCTCGCTCTCTGGCATCTCTCTCGCTCTCTGGCCTCTCGCTCTCTGGCCTCTCTCTGGCCTCTCTCTCGCTCTCTCTGGCCTCTCTCTCTCGCTCTCTCTGGCCTCTCTCTCTCGCTTCTCTCTCTCGCTCTCCGGCATCTCTCTCGCTCTCTGGCCTCTCTCTCGCTCTCTGGCCTCTCTCTCGCTCTCTGGCCTCTCTCTCGCTCTCTGGCATCTCTCTCGCTCTCTGGCATCTCTCTCGCTCTCTGGCATCTCTCTCGCTCTCTGGCATCTCTCTCGCTCTCTGGCATCTCTCTCGCTCTCTGGCATCTCTCTCGCTCTCTGTGGCATCTCTCTCTCTGGCCTCTCTCTCGCTTCTCTCTCTCGCTCTCTGGCCTCTCTCTGGCCTCTCTCTCGCTCTCTGGCCTCTCTCTGGCTGCTCTCTCTCGCTCTCGCTCTCTGGCCTCTCTCTCGCTCTCTGGCATCTCTCTCGCTCTCTGGCCTCTCTCTCGCTCTCTGGCCTCTCTCTCGCTCTCTGGCCTCTCTCTCGCTCTCCGACATCTCTCTCGCTCTCCGACATCTCTCTCGCTCTCCGGCATCTCTCTCGCTCTCTGGCATCTCTCTCGCTCTCTGGCCTCTCTCTCGCTCTCCGGCATCTCTCTCGCTCTCCGGCATCTCTCTCGCTCTCTGGCCTCTCTCTCTCTCTCGCTCTCTGGCATCTCTCTCGCTCTCTGGCCTCTCTCTCGCTCTCTGGCCTCTCTCTCGCTCTCTCTCTCTCCCCCTGCTGGTGTGATGTAGGCGCTACATATGAATGAACCTGTACCTGCGTCGTGTGGGGGTTTGAGGCCCGCGGCGCCTTTGGGCAAGAACCCTCCGTTGGCCCAGTCCAGCAGGGCTTTGATCTGCTCCTCAGGGTCCGAGTCACAGGGAGGGAAGGTCTGCTCTGCACGCACACTGGCCATCTACCAGGAGAGAGACCAGGAGAGAGACCATCAATGAGGACCAGGAGGGAGACCAGTAGAGAAACCATCAATGAGGACCAGGAGAGAGACCAGGAGGGAGACCAGGAGAGAGACCAGGAGGGAGACCATCAATGAAGACCAGGAGAGAGAAACCATCAATGAGGACCAGGAGAGAGACCAGTAAAGAAACCATCAATGAGGACCAGGAGAGAGACCAGGAGGGAGACCAGGAGAGAAACCATCAATGAGGACCAGGAGAGAGATCATCAGCTAGGACCAGGAGAGGGACCATCAATGAGGACCAATAGAGACAAGCAGAGACCATCAATGAGGACCAGGAGAGAGACCAGCAGCAAGGACCAGGGGAGAGACCATCAGCAAGGACCAGGAGAGAGACAATGAGGACCAATAGAGAGACAAGCAGAGACCATCAATGAGGACCAGGAGAGAGACCAGCAGCAAGGACCAGTGGAGAGACCAGGAGAGAAACCATTAGCAAGGACCAGGAGAGACCAGGGGAGAAACCATCAACAAGGACCAGGGGAGAAACCATCAACAAGGACCAGGAGAGAGACCAGGAGAAAAAAACCATCAACAAGGATCAGGAGAGACCAGGGGAGAAACCATCAACAAGGACCAGGAGAGAGACCAGGAAACTCAGACTGAAACACCTTTTTAGGTCGTTTCAACGTAAACGTTATGTTAAAAATGTAGCGACAGACACAGTTTGACTTTGATCTAAAGACATTAAAGTCACAGACAAAGAACTTTTCACTTTTCACTTAAAGTCCAACATTTGCATCATTTTAACTTTTTGTGTTGAAGTCTGAACAGAATCGACAAAAGAACACGAGCTTCGCCTCCGACTGAGAAAGAATCGAGAATCTGGAATCTCTGCTACAAATGTTTCACTGCTTTGTTACATCAGAGCTTAAGTTTTGACGAGATAATTATCAAAGAGATACTTTTGACAGAGTCAGAGCGAGTCCAGACTCAGACCAAGGCCAGAGCCAAAACAAACTGTAAAAGGTCACACTGATGTATACTCAGAGGTCTGTATGTATACTGAGACAGAGGTCTGTGTGTATACTGAGACAGGTCTGTATGTATACTGAGACAGGTCTGTATGTATACTGAGACAGGTCTGTATGTATACTGAGACAGGTCTGTATGTATACTGAGACAGGTCTGTATGTATACTGAGACAGGTCTGTATGTATACTGAGACAGGTATGTATGTATACTGAGACAGAGGTCTGTATGTATACTGAGACAGGTCTGTATGTATACTGAGACAGGTCTGTATGTATACTGAGACAGGTATGTATGTATACTGAGACAGAGGTCTGTATGTATACTGAGACAGGTCTGTATGTATACTGAGACAGAGGTCTGTATGTATACTGAGACAGAGGTCTGTATGTATACTGAGACAGAGGTCTGTATGTATACTGAGACAGAGGTCTGTATGTATACTGAGACAGGTCTGTATGTATACTGAGAGGTCTGTATGTATACTGAGACAGAGGTCTGTGTGTATACTGAGACAGAGGTCTGTATGTATACTGAGACAGAGTCTGTATGTATACTGAGACAGGTCTGTATGTATACTGAGACAGGTCTGTATGTATACTGAGACAGAGGTCTGTATGTATACTGAGACAGAGGTCTGTATGTATACTGAGACAGGTCTGTATGTATACTGAGACAGAGGTCTGTATGTATACTGAGACAGAGGTCTGTATGTATACTGAGACAGAGGTCTGTATGTATACTGAGACAGAGGTCTGTATGTATACTGAGACAGAGGTCTGTATGTATACTGAGACAGAGGTATGTATGTATACTGAGACAGAGGTCTGTATGTATACTGAGACAGAGGTCTGTATGTATACTGAGACAGAGGTCTGTATGTATACTGAGACAGGGTCTGTATGTATACTGAGACAGAGGTCTGTATGTATACTGAGACAGAGAGGTCTGTATGTATACTGAGACAGAGGTCTGTATGTATACTGAGACAGGTATGTATGTATACTGAGACAGAGGTCTGTATGTATACTGAGACAGAGGTCTGTATGTATACTGAGACAGGTCTGTATGTATACTGAGACAGGTCTGTATGTATACTGAGACAGGTCTGTATGTATACTGAGACAGAGGTCTGTATGTATACTGAGGTCTGTATGTATACTGAGACAGGTCTGTATGTATACTGAGACAGAGGTCTGTATGTATACTGAGACAGAGGTCTGTATGTATACTGAGACAGAGGTCTGTATGTATACTGAGACAGAGGTCTGTATGTATACTGAGGTCTGTATGTATACTGAGACAGGTCTGTATGTATACTGAGACAGAGGTCTGTATGTATACTGAGACAGAGGTCTGTATGTATACTGAGACAGGTCTGTATGTATACTGAGACAGGTCTGTATGTATACTGAGACAGAGTCTGTATGTATACTGAGACAGGTCTGTATGTATACTGAGACAGGTCTGTATGTATACTGAGACAGGTCTGTATGTATACTGAGACAGGTCTGTATGTATACTGAGACAGGTCTGTATGTATACTGAGACAGAGGTCTGTATGTATACTGAGACAGAGGTCTGTATGTATACTGAGACAGGTCTGTATGTATACTGAGACAGGTCTGTATGTATACTGAGACAGGTCTGTATGTATACTGAGACAGAGGTCTGTATGTATACTGAGACAGGTCTGTATGTATACTGAGACAGAGGTCTGTATGTATACTGAGACAGGTCTGTATGTATACTGAGACAGAGGTCTGTGTGTATACTGAGACAGGTCTGTATGTATACTGAGGCAGGTCTGTATGTATACTGAGACAGGTCTGTATGTATACTGAGACAGGTCTGTATGTATACTGAGACAGAGGTCTGTATGTATACTGAGACAGGTCTGTATGTATACTGAGACAGGGGTCTGTATGTATACTGAGACAGAGGTCTGTATGTATACTGAGACAGGTCTGTATGTATACTGAGACAGAGGTCTGTATGTATACTGAGACAGGTCTGTATGTATACTGAGACAGAGGTCTGTATGTATACTGAGACAGGTCTGTATGTATACTGAGACAGGTCTGTATGTATACTGAGACAGAGGTCTGTGTGTATACTGAGACAGGTCTGTATGTATACTGAGACAGGTCTGTATGTATACTGAGACAGGTCTGTATGTATACTGAGACAGAGGTCTGTATGTATACTGAGACAGGTCTGTATGTATACTGAGACAGGTCTGTATGTATACTGAGACAGGTCTGTATGTATACTGAGACAGGTCTGTATGTATACTGAGACAGAGGTCTGTATGTATACTGAGACAGGTCTGTATGTATACTGAGACAGGTCTGTATGTATACTGAGACAGGTCTGTATGTATACTGAGACAGAGGTCTGTATGTATACTGAGACAGGTCTGTATGTATACTGAGACAGAGGTCTGTATGTATACTGAGACAGAGGTCTGTATGTATACTGAGACAGGTCTGTATGTATACTGAGACAGAGGTCTGTGTGTATACTGAGACAGAGGTCTGTATGTATACTGAGACAGGTCTGTATGTATACTGAGACAGGTCTGTATGTATACTGAGACAGAGGTCTGTATGTATACTGAGACAGGGGTCTGTATGTATACTGAGACAGGTCTGTATGTATACTGAGAGGTCTGTATGTATACTGAGACAGAGGTCTGTATGTATACTGAGACAGGTATGTATGTATACTGAGACAGAGGTCTGTATGTATACTGAGACAGAGGTCTGTATGTATACTGAGACAGGTCTGTATGTATACTGAGACAGGTCTGTATGTATACTGAGACAGGTCTGTATGTATACTGAGACAGGTCTGTATGTATACTGAGACAGAGGTCTGTATGTATACTGAGGTCTGTATGTATACTGAGACAGGTCTGTATGTATACTGAGACAGAGGTCTGTATGTATACTGAGACAGAGGTCTGTATGTATACTGAGACAGAGGTCTGTATGTATACTGAGACAGAGGTCTGTATGTATACTGAGGTCTGTATGTATACTGAGACAGGTCTGTATGTATACTGAGACAGAGGTCTGTATGTATACTGAGACAGAGGTCTGTATGTATACTGAGACAGGTCTGTATGTATACTGAGACAGGTCTGTATGTATACTGAGACAGAGGTCTGTATGTATACTGAGACAGGTCTGTATGTATACTGAGACAGGTCTGTATGTATACTGAGACAGGTCTGTATGTATACTGAGACAGGTCTGTATGTATACTGAGACAGGTCTGTATGTATACTGAGACAGGTCTGTATGTATACTGAGACAGAGGTCTGTATGTATACTGAGACAGAGGTCTGTATGTATACTGAGACAGAGGTCTGTATGTATACTGAGACAGGTCTGTATGTATACTGAGACAGGTCTGTATGTATACTGAGACAGGTCTGTATGTATACTGAGACAGAGGTCTGTATGTATACTGAGACAGGTCTGTATGTATACTGAGACAGAGGTCTGTATGTATACTGAGACAGGTCTGTATGTATACTGAGACAGAGGTCTGTGTGTATACTGAGACAGGTCTGTATGTATACTGAGGCAGGTCTGTATGTATACTGAGACAGGTCTGTATGTATACTGAGACAGGTCTGTATGTATACTGAGACAGAGGTCTGTATGTATACTGAGACAGGTCTGTATGTATACTGAGACAGGGGTCTGTATGTATACTGAGACAGAGGTCTGTATGTATACTGAGACAGGTCTGTATGTATACTGAGACAGAGGTCTGTATGTATACTGAGACAGGTCTGTATGTATACTGAGACAGAGGTCTGTATGTATACTGAGACAGGTCTGTATGTATACTGAGACAGGTCTGTATGTATACTGAGACAGAGGTCTGTGTGTATACTGAGACAGGTCTGTATGTATACTGAGACAGGTCTGTATGTATACTGAGACAGGTCTGTATGTATACTGAGACAGAGGTCTGTATGTATACTGAGACAGGTCTGTATGTATACTGAGACAGGGGTCTGTATGTATACTGAGACAGGTCTGTATGTATACTGAGACAGGTCTGTATGTATACTGAGACAGAGGTCTGTATGTATACTGAGACAGGTCTGTATGTATACTGAGACAGGTCTGTATGTATACTGAGACAGGTCTGTATGTATACTGAGACAGGTCTGTATGTATACTGAGACAGGTCTGTATGTATACTGAGACAGGTCTGTATGTATACTGAGACAGGTCTGTATGTATACTGAGACAGGTCTGTATGTATACTGAGACAGAGGTCTGTATGTATACTGAGACAGGTCTGTATGTATACTGAGACAGGTCTGTATGTATACTGAGACAGGTCTGTATGTATACTGAGACAGAGGTCTGTATGTATACTGAGACAGGTCTGTATGTATACTGAGACAGAGGTCTGTGTGTATACTGAGACAGAGGTCTGTATGTATACTGAGACAGGTCTGTATGTATACTGAGACAGGTCTGTATGTATACTGAGACAGAGGTCTGTATGTATACTGAGACAGGTCTGTATGTATACTGAGACAGAGGTCTGTATGTATACTGAGACAGGTCTGTATGTATACTGAGACAGAGGTCTGTATGTATACTGAGACAGGTCTGTATGTATACTGAGACAGAGGTCTGTGTGTATACTGAGGCAGGTCTGTGTAAAACTATAAAATAGTTATTATAGAATGTTTATAAGAATCTTAGTAGTTTCTCCACAGGTTGTTTGTGTCGTTTTAGTAGGTGTAAAAACTCAGGAGCGCAGCAGGAGCGCAGCAGGAGCACAGCAGGAGCACAGCAGGAGCACAGCAGGAGCGCAGCAGGAGCACAGCAGGAGCACAGCAGGAGCGCAGCAGGAGCACAGCAGGAGCACAGCAGGAGCACAGCAGGAGCGCAGCAGGAGCACAGCAGGAGCACAGCAGGAGCACAGCAGGAGCGCAGCAGGAGCACAGCAGGAGCACAGCAGGAGCACAGCAGGAGCACAGCAGGAGCACAGCAGGAGCACAGCAGGAGCGCAGCAGGAGCACAGCAGGAGCACAGCAGGAGCACAGCAGGAGCGCAGCAGGAGCGCAGCAGGAGCACAGCAGGAGCACAGCAGGAGCACAGCAGGAGCACAGCAGGAGCGCAGCAGGAGCGCAGCAGGAGCACAGCAGGAGCACAGCAGGAGCACAGCAGGAGCACAGCAGGAGCACAGCAGGAGCACAGCAGGAGCACAGCAGGAGCGCAGCAGGAGCGCAGCAGGAGCACAGCAGGAGCACAGCAGGAGCACAGCAGGAGCACAGCAGGAGCACAGCAGGAGCACAGCAGGAGCACAGCAGGAGCGCAGCAGGAGCACAGCAGGAGCGCAGCAGGAGCACAGCAGGAGCGCAGCAGGAGCACTCTGGTGTTTCCACAACAGCCTCAGTCTGAGGACTGAAACCCAGAGTTGGTCGTTTTAATAAACTTCCTACGATTCAAACATGAAAATGAAAATCTGTAAACTCCAAACGAGGTCCGAGCGAGGCCTCTGCACAGGACCTGTGTTTAGTGACTTCCAGAAGGTTCCACAGACACTTCCTCAGTTCTGTTTCCCCTGAAGGCTCCGAGCAAGTCACGACAAGTCCCTCCGACAGTTTACAGAAGAACACAGCACTTTACAGCAGCACCTGCAGCAGCTCAGGGACAGACCATGTGCTGATGTAGCATAGTGCTCCGTAATAACCTGGAACATGCTCCAGACTGTGATGGTTTTATGTCTGTATATTCATATTATTCATTATTAAATAATAATGTTTTAATAATACAATTATTCATTACTAATTATTAATATTATTATTAAAATCAATCATACAGTAATCACTTCCAAAGCAGTTAAGTCTCTTAAACAGAACATTCTAAGTCCTAAACATGAAAACATAATGTTTACATCAAAGGCGTAAAGTGCCGTTACCTCCAGGACTTGGAAAACTGCCCGACGATAGGAGGCCAGCTTCGTGTACGACGCCTGGCTGAAGAAACGAGGAAAAGCAGTGATGGAGTCGAGTTTATCTGCAGAGACCTACAGAAAAACACACGTTATTATATCAGAAAGTACACACAGCATAAGGACTGACCTGACCAGTCCAGTCCAGTCCAGTCCAGTCCAGTCCACATGGACCCGCGGAGCAGATGGAGCCTCGAGGCGCTTTCAAAGAAGTCACCTAACTTTGGAACTGTGATTGTAATTAGAGACCAGAGAGAGAGACCAGAGAGAGAGACCAGAGAGAGACCAGAGAGAGAGACCAGAGAGGGACCAGAGAGAGACCAGAGAGAGACCAGAGAGAGACCAGAGAGAGACCAGAGAGAGACCAGAGAGAGACCAGAGAGAGACCAGAGAGAGACCAGAGAGAGACCAGAGAGAGACCAGAGAGAGACCAGTGAGAGACCAGAGAGAGACCAGAGAGAGACCAATGAGAGACCAGAGAGAGACCAGAGAGAGACCAATGAGAGACCAATGAGAGACCAGACAGAGACCAGAGAGAGACCAGAGAGAGACCAGAGAGAGACCAGAGAGAGACCAGAGAGAGACCAGAGAGAGACCAGAGAGAGAGACCAGACAGAGACCAGAGAGAGACCAGAGAGAGACCAGAGAGAGACCAGAGAGAGACCAGAGAGAGACCAATGAGAGACCAGACAGAGACCAGACAGAGACCAGAGAGAGACCAGAGAGAGACCAGAGAGAGACCAGAGAGAGAGACCAGACAGAGACCAGAGAGAGACCAGAGAGAGACCAGAGAGAGACCAGAGAGAGAGACCAGAGAGAGACCAGAGAGAGACCTGAGAGAGACCAGAGAGAGACCAGACAGAGACCAGAGAGAGACCAGAGAGAGACCAGAGAGAGATTAGAGAGAGACCAGAGAGAGACCAATGAGAGACCAGAGAGAGACCAGAGAGAGACCAATGAGAGACCAGACAGAGACCAGAGAGAGACCAGAGAGAGACCAGAGAGAGACCAGACAGAGACCAGAGAGAGACCAGAGAGAGACCAGAGAGAGACCAGAGAGAGATTAGAGAGAGACCAGAGAGAGACCAATGAGAGACCAGAGAGAGACCAGAGAGAGACCAGACAGAGACCAGAGAGAGACCAGAGAGAGACCAGAGAGAGACCAGACAGAGACCAGAGAGAGACCAGAGAGAGACCAGAGAGAGACCAGAGAGAGACCAGAGAGAGACCAGAGAGAGACCAGAGAGAGACCAATGAGAGACCAGACGGAGACCAGAGAGAGACCAGAGAGAGAGACCAGACAGAGACCAGAGAGAGACCAGAGAGAGACCAGAGAGAGAGACCAGAGAGAGACCAGAGAGAGACCAGAGAGAGAGACCAGAGAGAGACCAGAGAGAGATTAGAGAGAGACCAGAGAGAGACCAATGAGAGACCAGAGAGAGACCAGAGAGAGAGACCAGAGAGAGACCAATGAGAGACCAGACGGAGACCAGAGAGAGACCAGAGAGAGAGACCAGAGAGAGAGACCAGAGAGAGAGACCAGAAAGAGACCAGAGAGAGACCAGAGAGAGAGACCAGAGAGAGACCAGAGAGAGATTAGAGAGAGACCAGAGAGAGACCAATGAGAGACCAGAGAGAGACCAGAGAGAGACCAATGAGAGACCAGAGAGAGACCAGAGAGAGACCAGAGAGAGACCAGAGAGAGACCAGAGAGAGACTAGAGAGAGACTAGAGAGAGACCAGAGAGAGACTAGAGAGAGAGACCAGAGAGAGACTAGAGAGAGACCAGAGAGAGACCAGAGAGAGACTAGAGAGAGAGACCAGAGAGAGACCAGAGAGAGACCAGAGAGAGACCGGAGAGAGACCGGAGAGAGACCAGAGAGAGACCAGAGAGAGACCAGAGAGAGACCAGAGAGACCAGAGAGAGACCAGAGAGAGACCAGAGAGAGACCAGAGAGAGACTAGAGAGAGAGACCAGAGAGAGACCAGAGAGAGACCAGAGAGAGACCGGAGAGAGACCGGAGAGAGACCAGAGAGAGACCAGAGAGAGACCAGAGAGACCAGAGAGAGAGACCAGAGAGAGACCAGAGAGAGAGACCAGAGAGAGAGGCCAGAGAGAGAGGCCAGAGAGAGAGACCAGAGAGAGAGACCAGAGAGAGAGACCAGAGAGAGACCAGAGAGAGAGACCAGAGAGAGACCAGAGAGAGAGACCAGAGAGAGACCAGAGAGAGACCAGAGAGAGACCAGAGAGAGACCAGAGAGAGACCAGAGAGAGAGACCAGAGAGAGACCAGAGAGAGACCAGAGAGAGACCAGAGAGAGACCAGAGAGAGAGACCAGAGAGAGACCAGAGAGAGACCAGAGAGAGACCAGAGAGAGAGACCAGAGAGAGACCAATGAGAGACCAGACAGAGACCAGACAGAGACCAGAGAGAGACCAGAGAGAGAGACCAGACAGAGACCAGAGAGAGAGACCAGACAGAGACCAGAGAGAGACCAGAGAGAGACCAGAGAGAGAGACCAGAGAGAGAGACCAGAGAGAGAGACCAGAGAGAGAGACCAAGGGTAAACGCAGTAGAACTAATTTTCCACATCAAAGTCACAGCTCAGTCCTGTTAACATCATGTACATGTGTCAAAGAGAGAAACCCCCCTGTCCTGCGGCGTGGCCCTCACCTCAGAGAACTTCCCGTCTCCAAACCACTGCAGCCACCTCATGCCGTGGCTGGCGTGGCGTTTGCCGGTGATCCTCCACGTCACCACGATCCCGGGCCACCACGAGAACCCTTTGATCTTCCCCCAAACCAGCTCCCCGATGCCGAAGCCTTTGTTGTCCTGGAAACACACGTCACAAATCTACCTTTCTCAGTCTGTTTAATCCTGTTTGGTCTTCAATCTATTTAAATCCACCACGTTTTTAAAAGTTAAAACTCTGTCAAATCAGACAAGTTCAATAGAGTAACATTCAGAGGACTGGTCTCGCTCTCTCTGGTCTCTCTCTCTCTGGTCTCTCTCTCTGGTCTCTCTCTCTGGTCTCTCTCTCTGGTCTCTCTCTGGTCTCTCTCTCTGGTCTCTCTCTGGTCGCTCTCGCTGGTCTCTCTCGCTGGTCTCTCTCGCTGGTCTCTCTCGCTGGTCTCTCTCTCTGGTCGCTCTCTCTGGTCGCTCTCTCTGGTCGCTCTCTCTGGTCGCTCTCTCTGGTCTCTCTCTCTGGTCTCTCTCTCTGGTCTCTCTCTCTGGTCGCTCTCTCTGGTCTCTCTCGCTGGTCTCTCTCGCTGGTCTCTCTCGCTGGTCGCTCTCTGGTCGCTCTCTCTGGTCGCTCTCTCTGGTCGCTCTCTCTGGTCGCTCTCTCTGGTCGCTCTCTCTGGTCTCTCTCTCTGGTCTCTCTCTCTGGTCGCTCTCTCTGGTCTCTCTCGCTGGTCGCTCTCGCTGGTCGCTCTCTCTGGTCGCTCTCTCTGGTCGCTCTCTCTGGTCGCTCTCTCTGGTCTCTCTCTCTGGTCGGTCTCTCTGGTCTCTCTCTGGCCTCCCGCCCTGCTCTTTTGTCTCTCTCTCTCTCTTTCTCCTCCCTCCCCTCCCAATAAAAAATAAAAATGAATATCCTTTGAAACATGTGACATCACTCCTCTCCTATGAAACATGTGACATCACTCCTCTCCTATGAAACATGTGACATCACTCCTCTCCTATGAAACATGTGACATCACTCCTCTCCTATGAAACATGTGACATCACTCCTCTCCTATGAAACATGTGACATCACTCCTCTCCTATGAAACATGTGACATCACTCCTCTCCTATGAAACATGTGACATCACTCCTCTCCTATGAAACATGTGACATCACTCCTCTCCTATGAAACATGTGACATCACTCCTCTCCTATGTAACATGTGACATCACTCCTCTCCTATGAAACATGTGACATCACTCCTCTCCTATGAAACATGTGACATCACTCCTCTCCTATGAAACAAGTGACATCACTCCTCTCCTATGAAACATGTGACATCACTCCTCTTCCATGTTCACTGAACCAGAGCCCAGTGAATAAACTGCATTAAACAAACTGATCCTGGTTCATGTCGAGGCCTGTGAGGTTCAGCTGCTCACACAAGGAGAGAGACACAAGGAGAGAGACCCACCTCCTCTCAGTGATAGTTTGAGAGAGAACATTGAGTGTAGAGTACATTCTGTTCTCGTTTAATCAATTTGTGAGTTAGCTTTGATCCATAATAATGTTAAGTGATGTGTTGCTATTGGTTCCCAGGTTTTATATGAGAGAGAGAGACCCAGACCCTTCAGGGGAGAGAGAGAGAGACCCAGTCCCTCCAGCAGAGAGAGAGACTGTAAACAGAGCAGTGAATCCAGAGCTCTGACTGCAGACACTGCTCCCTCTTCACCACTGCAGATACTGAACCAACCGTCTGTATGTGTGAGTGTAACATGTATGTAACATGTATGTGTATATGTATCTGTGTGTAACATGTATGTGTGTGTAACTTTATTTATCTCACAGAGGAGAAATGTACATGTCACATTTGGATAGAACACTCAGATTGTGCAAAGGGAGGAAATGTGCAAACATGTTACATGCAGGATATATGTACAATAAAGTGACAATTTAAAGTGGCAGTCAGATATAGTGTCAATAGTAGTGCAGGTTTTCACACAGTGATCATTTAAAGTGACTTATTGTACAGTCTGACAGCGGTGGGGATAAAGGCCCTGCTCCTTCCTACACTGAGGGTGTCTCAGTCTTCCACTGAAGGAGCTCCTCAGCTCCTCCTCAGTCCTGTGCAGTGGGAGGTGTTGTTCATGATGGAGGTGGCTTTGTCTAGCACCTCCTGTCCCTCAGCTCCTCCACAGAGTCCAGGGGCCTCCTGTCCCTCACCTCCTCCACAGAGTCCAGGGGCCTCCTGTCCCTCAGCTCCTCCACAGAGTCCAGGGGCCTCCTGTCCCTCACCTCCTCCACAGAGTCCAGGGGCCTCCTGTCCCTCACCTCCTCCACAGAGTCCAGGGGCCTCCTGTCCCTCACCTCCTCCACAGAGTCCAGGGGCCTCCTGTCCCTCACCTCCTCCACAGAGTCCAGGGGCCTCCTGTCCCTCACCTCCTCCTGACCAGCTTGTTCAGTCTGTTTCTGTCCCGCTCTGTGCTGCCCGGGGCCCAATACACGGCAGCGTAGTAAATGGCAGTATGTGTGTGTGTGTAACATGTGTGTGTGTGTAACATGTGTGTGTGTGTAACATGTATGTGTGTGTAACATGTGTGTGTGTGTAACATGTATGTGTGTGTAACATGTGTGTGTGTGTGTAACATGTGTGTGTGTGTGTAACATGTGTGTGTGTAACATGTGTGTGTGTGTAACATGTATGTGTGTGTAACATGTATGTGTGTGTAACATGTATGTGTGTGTAACATGTGTGTGTGTGTAACATGTGTGTGTGTGTAACATGTGTGTGTGTGTGTAACATGTGTGTGTGTGTGTGTGTGTAACATGTATGTGAGTGTAACGTGTGTGTGTGTAACATGTATGTGAGTGTAACATGTATGTGTGTGTAACATGTATGTGTGTGTAACATGTATGTGTGTGTAACATGTATGTGTGTGTAACATTTGTGTGTGTGTAACATTTGTGTGTGTGTAACATTTGTGTGTGTGTAACATGTATGTGTGTGTAACATGTGTGTGTGTGTAACATGTATGTGTGTGTAACATGTATGTGTGTGTGTAACATGTGTGTGTGTGTGTAACATGTGTGTGTGTGTGTAACATGTGTGTGTGTGTAACATGTGTGTGTGTGTAACGTGTGTGTGTGTGTAACGTGTGTGTGTGTAACATGTGTGTGTGTGTAACATGTGTGTGTGTGTAACATGTGTGTGTGTGTAACATGTATGTGAGTGTAACATGTATGTGTATCTGTATACACGTTATTTTGTTCCAAATTCTGTCTCTCACAGTTGAAGTGAACCTATGATGAACATTACAGACCTCTGTCATTATTTTAAGTGGGAGAACTTGAACAATCAGAGGCTGACTAAATACTTTTTTGCCCCACTGTGTGTGTAACATGTATGTGTATATGTAACATGTAAGATATGTGTATATGTAACATGTATGTAACATGTAAGATATGTGTATATGTAACATGTATGTAACATGTATGTGTAACATGTATGTAACATGTATGTGTAACATGTATGTAACATGTATGTGTAACATGTAAGTAACATGTATGTGTGTGTATGTAACATGTATGTGTGAGTGTCCCGTACGTTATACTCGAGGCGTGGTTCGGAGCTGGAGGAGCTGCTGCTTTGAGCCGAGTCTTTCGAGTCCTGCTCCATCAGGTCCAGACTGGGACTCTCAGGGACCTGAGGGACCGGACCAGACACTGCTGCGGGGCCTCTGGCTTCACTCTGTCACAGACACAGGTTTCAGATTCATGCCAACAGGTGGAACAGTCTTCCTGAAAATGTGAGACAGGCTTCTACTCTGGGAATGTTCAGATCCAGGTCTAAACAGGTCATAGAAAGAGTATCTTTACTCTCTTTATGGACTGAGATTATGTATGTTCAGCCCAAGGACACAGTCCCAGTCTCACAGGTCCTGGTCCTGTCAGAGTCTCACCAGAGCCACGCTGCTGTCATGTTTTCCCCGTCTCCTGGTCTTCCCTGGAGTCTGTCCTGCCTGAAAGATGGTCCTGGGACGAGGCGTCTGCCGCAGACTCAGCCGAGACTCGGGAGACTTCTGCAAACACACATTTAATCATTTCACAGCTGTGCTCCTGTGTTGGTATGAAAACCTGCAGCGAGTCCAGACCATGTGTGTGATGGTACCATGTGTGTACCATGTGTGTACCTGGCAGTCCTCTGACTGCTCCTCCAGGCTCCTCTTCCTGGGTTTCTTGCGACCGCTGGAGTTCACATCTGCACAAAAACACAGATGTTCAGACGATACGAAAACTCTACTGCAGTGATCCACAGAGGCCTACTCTGGCCTACTCTGGCCTACTCTGGCCTACTCTGGCCTACTCTGGCAGTAGGACTGATATAGGTCTCTCTCGTCTTTCTCGTGTCTCCCTCCGGTCTCTCCCTCTCTCTCTGGTCTCATGAATCTGGTCCAGCACTGGTCTCTGGTCTCATGAATCTGGTCCAGCACTGGTCTCTGGTCCAGCACTGGTCTCTGGCTCAGCACTGGTCTCATGAATCTGGTCCAGCACTGGTCTCTGGTCTCATGAGTCTGGTCCCGCACTGGTCTCTGGTCTCAAGAGTCTGCTCCCGCACTGGTCTCTGGTCTCAAGAGTCTGCTCCCGCACTGGTCTCTGGTCTCAAGAGTCTGCTCCCGCACTGGTCTCTGGTCTCAAGAGTCTGCTCCCGCACTGGTCTCTGGTCTCATGAATCTGGTCCAGCACTGGTCTCTGGTCCAGCACTGGTCTCTGGTCCAGCACTGGTCTCATGAATCTGGTCCAGCACTGGTCTCTGGTCTCATGAGTCTGGTCCCGCACTGGTCTCTGGTCTCATGAGTCTGGTCCCGCACTGGTCTCTGGTCTCATGAGTCTGGTCCAGCACTGGTCTCTGGTCTCATGAGTCTGGTCCAGCACTGGTCTCTGGTCTCATGAGTCTGGTCCCGCACTGGTCTCTGGTCTCATGAGTCTGGTCCCGCACTGGTCTCTGGTCTCATGAGTCTGGTCCCGCACTGGTCTCTGGTCTCATGAGTCTGGTCCCGCACTGGTCTCTGGTCTCATGAGTCTGGTCCCGCACTGGTCTCTGGTCTCATGAGTCTGGTCCCGCACTGGTCTCTGGTCTCATGAGTCTGGTCCCGCACTGGTCTCTGGTCTCATGAGTCTGGTCCCGCACTGGTTTCTGGTACCTTGAGGAGACCGGGCCCCCCCGCTGAGCTTGGGGCAGAGGGGGGAGGGGGGCTGGGCGGGGGTGAGGGGGCTGTTCTCATTGGTCAGTTCCACTCCGCTGTCGTTCTCGGACAGAGCCTCCGCTGCAGACGAGTCGCTGATCACCGCAGCCTGAAAGAAGAAGGGTGAGGGTTTCTCTCATCACAGGGTTTCTCTCATCACAGGGTTTCTCTCATCTCTCTCGTGTCCATCTCGTCTCCCTCTCTTCTCCTCTCTCTCCCTCCCTCTCTCTCTCTCCTCTCTCCCTCCCTCTCTCTCTCTCCTCTCTCTCCCTCCCTCTCTCTCTCTCCTCTCTCTCCCTCCCTCTCTCTCTCTCCTCTCTCCTCTCTCTCTGCCCCCCCTCCCTCTCTCTCTCTCCCCCCCCCCCCCCCCCCTCCCCCCCCCTCTCCCCCTCTCCCCCCCCCCCCCTCCCCCTCCCCTCCCCTCTCCTCTCCCCCTCCCCCCCCTCCCCTCTCCCCTCTCCCCCCCTCTCTTCCTCTTCGTACCTCTGTCTCTCTGTGGTCCATAAATCTCCTTCTCTCTGTATAATTATAAACGACAGATTGTCTCAGCTCTGAAATAACAGAAAACACTAAATCTGATCTGGACAAATGAGAGGTTGGATCTGTCAGAATCCTCAGACTTCGACCCCAATTATCTCACTCATCTTTCAAAATATTTGTACTGAACAATTATGGATGTGTTTCTCAAGACGAGACTTGTCAGAAAAGAACAAAGTCACGTTCATTTCTCTCCGTCATAAAGTCTCCATTTCACAAGGATTTACTGTTATTAAAACAGACTTTTAATGTGAAATAATGTCTCCAGTAAACTCCTTACTGCCTGTAACTCCCCATGTTGCCACCAGGGGGAGGAGCAGAGTTTGTTTTGGTATTTGATTGTTCAGAAAGTGAATAACTAATTTATAAAATATTTTTGTTTTAAAAACAACGGGGAGAAAAAAGAAAACTTTGATTTTGTTCACTCTCCTGTCCAGAGAGAGACCATAGAGAGACCAGAGAGAGAGACCATAGAGAGAGAGACCAGAGAGAGAGACCAGAGAGCGAGACCAGAGAGCGAGACCAGAGAGCGAGACCAGAGAGCGAGACCAGAGAGCGAGACCAGAGAGCGAGACCATAGAGACAGACCAGAGAGAGACCATAGAGAGAGAGACCAGAGTGAGAGACCAGAGAGAGAGACCATAGAGAGAGAGACCAGAGTGAGAGACCAGAGAGAGAGAGAGACCAGAGGGAGAGACTAGAGAGAGACCATAGAGAGAGAGACCAGAGAGAGAGACCATAGAGAGAGAGAGACCAGAGAGAGAGACCAGAGAGAGAGAGAGAGAGAGACCAGAGAGAGACAGACCAGAGAGAGAGACCAGAGAGAGACCATAGAGAGAGAGAGAGAGAGAGACCATAGAGAGAGAGAGACCAGAGAGAGAGAGACCAGAGAGAGAGACCATAGAGACAGACCAGAGAGAGAGACCATAGAGAGAGAGAGACCAGAGAGAGAGACCAGAGAGAGAGACCAGAGAGAGAGACCAGAGAGCGAGACCAGAGAGAGAGAGACCATAGAGACAGACCAGAGAGAGACCAGAGAGAGAGACCAGAGAGAGAGACCAGAGAGAGACCAGAGAGAGAGACCAGAGAGAGAGACCAGAGAGAGAGAGACCATAGAGACAGACCAGAGAGAGAGACCAGAGAGAGAGACCAGAGAGAGAGACCAGAGAGAGAGACCAGAGAGAGACCAGAGAGAGAGACCAGAGAGAGAGACCAGAGAGAGACCAGAGAGAGAGAGAGACCAGAGGGAGAGAGAGACCAGAGGGAGAGACCATAGAGAGACCATAGAGACAGACCAGAGAGAGAGACCAGAGAGAGAGACCATAGAGAGAGAGAGACCAGAGAGACCATAGAGAGAGAGAGAGACCAGAGAGAGAGCAGAGAGAGAGACCAGAGAGAGAGACCAGAGAGAGAGAGACCAGAGAGAGAGACCAGAGAGAGAGCAGAGAGAGAGAGACCAGAGAGAGAGACTATACATATGAACCTGGTCTTACCAGGTGAAAAGGTGGTATTTAAAGTGAAGACACAGTTTCGTGTCATAACGAGCTGAATACTGCGTCTGCAGCGAACCATGTGTTTGGAACAACATCAGGAGCTGAATATTTATGTAACATCAGCTCCATGTCTCTGCGCCTCCCCCTCTGCGCCTCCCCCTCTCACGCGAGAGAGAGGGAGACCAGAGAGTCCCCCACTGCCTCCCCCTGCCTCCCCTCTCTACCTCCGCCCCTGTGCTCCCCCCTCTCTCTGCCTCCTCTCTCTGCCTCTCACCCTCCCACCCTCTGCCTCCCCCTGCCCCTTTACCCCCTCTGCCTCCCCCTGCCCCTTTACCCCCTCTGCCTGCCTCCCCCGGCCCCTTTACCCCCTCTGCCTGCCTCCCCCCTGCCCCCCTCTGCCTCCCCCTGCCCCCTCTGCCTCCCCCTCTGATTGGACCTTCTGCTCAGACTCACGGTGGTGTTACGGTCGGTTCCTTCCATGGAGTCGTCTGAGAACTTGTCTGAAGGCCTCGGTGAGTCCAGGGGTTTCTCCTCCGTTTCAAACCTGCACAAAAATATCACATTTATTTTATGTTAACGGAAGAAGGGACATTATGGTCCAGGGGTGTCCAAACTTTTGAGTAGGAGGGCCTTTTTAGTTCCCCAGACCTGTCCAGGGCCGGGAACATTCTAAAACTGCTCTTCAGGCTTTGGGCTTTAACATTCTTAGGCCTGAGCGACACGACTGAAAACTATATCACAATATTAGTGATTGGTGGTGATAAGTGGGGTTTTTCTGCACATCTCAGATGGTCTTGCAGTTCATGCTCGGCCGTGAGAAATATATCGTTTTGGTTTTATCGCCCAAGCTTCAAACATAAAGATATAAAAAAATGTATAAAAAGAAGAAAGCCATTTCTCAAAGATATCCATAAAAGTCTGGTTTAAAGTTTGCCACAAGCCACCTGGGAGACACACCAAACATGTGGAAGAAGGTGCTCTGGTCAGATGAAACCAAAATCAAACTTTTTGGCCACAATGCAAAACGATATGTTTGGCGTAAAAGCAACACAGCTCATCACCCTGAACACACCATCCCCACTGTCAAACATGGTGGTGGCAGCATCATGCTTTGGGCCTGCTTTTCTTCAGCAGGGACAGGGAAGATGGCTAAAATTGATGGGAAGATGGATGGAGCCAAATACAGGACCATTCTGGAAGAAAACCTGTTGGAGTCTGCAAAAGACCTGAGACTGGGACGGAGATTTATCTTCCAACAGGACAATGATCCAAAACATAAAGCCAAATCTACAATGGAATGGTTCACAAATAGACGTATCCAGGTGTTAGAATGGCCAAGTCAAAGTCCAGACCTGAATCCAATCCAGAATCTGTGGAAAGAGCTGAAGACTGCTGTTCACAAACGCTCTCCATCCAACCTCACTGAGCTCCAGCTGTTTTGCAAGGAAGAATGGGAAAGAATTCCAGTCTCTCGATGTGCAAAACTGATCGAGACATACCCCAAGCGACTTGCAGCTGTAATTGCAGCAAAAGGTGGCGCTACAAAGTATTAGCGCAAGGGGCCGAATAATATTGCACGCCCCACTTTTCAGTTTTATATTTGTTAAAAAAATTAAAATTATCCAATAAATTTAGTTCCACTTCACGATTGTGTCCCACTTGTTGTTGATTCTTGACTAAAAAATATTTTTTCTATCTTTGTTTGAAGCCTGTGGCGAAATGTTGAAAGGTTCAAGGGGGCCGAATACTTTCGCAAGGCACTGTAACTATTGATCTCACACTGTAGACATTTGCATCACGCACCTGAACTCAATACAACACCACACAGTGTAGCTCCGCCCTCTAGCCCCGTCTACAGGGCGTGGCCATCACAGAGCACCGGCCCCTCACAGATTCATATAAAGTGAATGGTACATACAGCATGACTATATTGGTGGAGCTAAAGTTGGCTGGATGACTCTGTGAAAGTGCCTCAAAGTGTAGTTTGTATGAACTAGACAGAGGGCCACGTTAAATGAACAGACAACGGTCCCTGTTAGGGATGTAAATCGGTGACCGTTTAACCGGTGGTTGACTGTCACAGCGTTAACCGGTCAAAGCTGTCGGTTAAAAAGAGAAAAGGGGGAGAGGGGAGGTCTCTTAATAACGCTGTTTTGAACTCTATTTGCACGATGTGACGAGCGGGTCTGTCTCTAGCTGTGTGCGCCAATGTATTAAACTCCGAGCCGACTCTCATGCCGCATGCGCCACGCACACACACACACACACACACACACACACATACACGCACGCACGCACACACACACGCACGCACGCACACACACATTCACACATACACGCACGCACGCACACAAGTGCCATTTCACACTCGCGCACCTTTTCCCCGTTCCATTCATACGTAACATCCACACGCATCATCCATACTCACACACACACATACATGTACACACACATATATGTACACACACATATATGTACACACATACCGGTCTGTCACGCTCCTCTGTGTCACGTCAAACCACATGGAACATGTTTGTGCTGCTGGTCCTTGGCATTAGATCAGCTCCACACACATCACTTATATTTAGACTTTAGCGGAGATCTGTGAGACGCGGCTCGTCACTCGCTGCTCTGACCATGTGAACGAGCCGTCGTTTGCTGCTAAAGAGCTTTAACCCGCAGCACAGCAGAATGGGAAGATTAAAACAGCAGTTCTCTGTGCTCAAAGGTGCCGAAGCTGTTGTGGGTTTTGGCGCCGCTGTCTTGGCTCTGATCAAGTAGAACGCAGAGCTGCACTTATGGAAAGTACGCGGCTCGAAATGGCTGTTATTTCAAAGAACGTGGAATATTTAAAACTACGCGGTTAACCGGTTTCAACCGGTTAATGAGGCTCGGTGGTCGGTCATGAAAATTCATAGTTTTTTACATCCCTTGTCCCTGTGCTCCGTCGGTGTGTCCGGGCCGTGACCTGAACTGCAGCTGTGAGCAACAGGATCATCAGAAATCACAAGAGCATTTCAGGTCCAAAACCCAGTCCAGATGGTTTTGGACCTGAACCCAGTCCAGATGGTTTTGGACCTGAACCCAGTCCAGATGGTTTTGGGGCTGGACCACAGAGTGAAGGGGCCATAAGTGCTAAGCATCATGGGAACTCCTTCCAGACTGTTGGAGACCATTTCAGGTCCTGTTGAAGCTCATCCAGAGAATGCCAAGAGTGAAGCAGTATCAGAGCAAAAGGAGCTACTTTGAAGAACCAGAATATAACACATATTTACACTTGGGTCATACTTTTTTACTACGGACATAATTCACATGAGTTCATCATAGGTTTGAGACCCTCAGTGTCAGTCTACAGTTTTATAATCATGAAAATAAACATCTCTTTGAATGAGAGGGTGTCCAAACTTTTGGTCTGTACTGTACATCCTCAGATAGACCTGTAAGAGGCCTCTACAATCCACACACACAGACTAGAGTTTCGTTCGGGCCTGAAAAGTCAAGCCCGACCCGGCGTGAGCCCGCTAATACTAAGCCCGAGCCCATATAAGCCCGACCAATTAACGCTGTATAATGGGCCTGAGCCCGACAGAACCCGACACATCTGATTTCTCTTGTTGTGCGCACTCACCTTCCAATTGCAAGTTTAACCACTTCTGAACGTGTTTTGTACGTCCACCTGATCCATTTCTGTAAATGTTCCGTGTGTTCGCTGTTGACCGTAGCATTCAACAGGAACAACAGGGATGATGCGTTCACGGCTCGCTGCGGCTGTAGGACACGCCGGTTACGGTGTTATAAATATATCAACTTTTTAAATAACGGACATTATTATTAATAAATACATATTTGCATATCATTATGTATGAAAATCATTAAAAAATAATAAAGCCCGGCACGGCCCGACAACTGAGGGCTGAAATGAGGCCCGTGCCCGGCCCGAACTCGGGGTCGGGCTCGGGCTCGGACTGAAAAGCGAAACTAACACAGACACACGTCTGGACAGGTCTGTACACAGCCCTCAGTAAACATCAGACATCACCATAAGTCTGGGTTTGCAGGTCCAAACCAGGACAAAACCAGGTCCAAACCAGGACTAAAACCAGGTCCAAACCAGGACTAAAACCAGGTCCAAACCAGGACTAAAACCAGCTCCAAACCAGGACTACAACCAGGTCCAAACCAGGACTACAACCAGGTCCAAACCAGGACTACAACCAGGTCCAAACCAGGACTGGAGTCCACTATCATCTTTTTTTAACCGTATTTGTTGTAGTGGTAAAAGTGGATTCTTCTGTAAGTTTCATCTGAGGTTTCTGTGACTGACGTCTGCTTGTTCAATGGGTCTCTTGTTGCATCTGTGTATGTGCGTGTATGTGTGTGTGTGTGCGTGTATGTGTGTGTGTGTGTGTGCGTGTATGTGCATGTGTGTGCATGTGCCGCGTGTATGTGTGTGTGCATGAAGTTGTATGAAACCGTGACAGTTCTGAGCCTGAGGTTTTGGAGCGACTGAAGGACGAGTGTGGAGCCGAGGGGCCAAGAGCAGGGGACACACAGAAGCTTTTCGGGGGGGTCCTCGGGGGTCCGTGGGGGGGGTCCACTTTCAAGTCGAGTCCGGGAGCTGGAGATTAGGAGTGTGTGTGTGTGTTTGTGTGCGTGTAGGTCAGGTCGCGGGGAGGGGAGGGGTTCAGGGGCAGGGGGGGTGCATTCCTCGTCTGTCATGTTGGACTTGGTGGCCTCTCCCAGTCTCTCTCTCTAAAGCCACGTTCAGACCGGATCATGCGTCAATGGTGACGTGCGTTCAAGCGGCAAAACGCACAAACGTCCTGGCACACATGTACAGACTGTTCAGTACGCACGGACTGTTCAGTAGAGACGCACGGACTCTTCAGTAGAGACGCACGGACTCTTCAGTAGAGACGCACGGACTCTTCAGTAGAGACGCACGGACTCTTCAGTAGAGACGCACGGACTCTTCAGTAGAGACGCACGGACTCTTCAGTAGAGACGCACGGACTCTTCAGTAGAGACGCACGGACTCTTCAGTAGAGACGCACGGACTCTTCAGTAGAGACGCACGGACTCTTCAGTAGAGACGCACGGACTCTTCAGTAGAGACGCACGGACTCTTCAGTAGAGACGCACGGACTGTTCAGTAGAGACGCACAGACTGTTCTGTAGAGACGCACGGACTCTTCAGTAGAGACGCACGGACTCTTCAGTAGAGACGCACGGACTCTTCAGTAGAGACGCACGGACTCTTCAGTAGAGACGCACGGACTCTTCAGTAGAGACGCACGGACTCTTCAGTAGAGACGCACGGACTCTTCAGTAGAGACGCACGGACTCTTCAGTAGAGACGCACGGACTCTTCAGTAGAGACGCACGGACTCTTCAGTAGAGACGCACGGACTCTTCATGGGAACTCCTTCCAGACTGTTGGAGACCATTTCAGGTCCTGTTGAAGCTCATCCAGAGAATGCCAAGAGTGAAGCAGTATCAGAGCAAAAGGAGCTACTTTGAAGAACCAGAATATAACACATATTT